GCTGCAACAAACCTTCTAGTACACATGCAGGTAGTTCATGATTTTATGAATGGGTACCTGGCCACATTCACCCAGAAGTATCTGGGAGAGACAGGAGTCCATCTCAGGGAAGGTGGACTCTCAAGCTGGTCCTTATAGACCAAATTTAAGACTGACCTTTCTAGAGGATCTTGGTTAAATTACTGGTTCCAAGCAGTAATCACATTTATGTCCCTTTCTGTTAATTGCATTTCCACTCTCTGAGCATTCAGACTGAAATTTCAGTGTCTATTAATACCTTCCTCTACATTACACTTGTGCCTTGCTCTTGGTTCCCACCACCATCTCAGCTGGTCTTCATGGTGGCTCCGGGGGGCCTTCCCGAGAAGCCAGGAGCCTTCCCAAGGGTCTTCTGCCTTCTGGTCTCTTCTGTGATGCCCCCTTCTGCTTCCATAGGAAGAGCTCTGAAGTCTGCTCCAGCCATTCCATACCCCTCCTGCGAAGCTTCTTCTGATCAGGCTGTTCAGCCTAGTGCACAGGATTTTCCATGTCCTGGATTCAAGTTATTTTTGCAACCTTACTGAGGATATAGCTCAGCAGCACAAGCGCCTGTCTTGCAAGCTCAAGATCCTGAGTTCAATTCCCAGTACCAAAAAAAAAAGAAAGAAAGAAAAAAAAAAAAAAAAAAAAAAAAAAAAAAGAAAGAAAGAAAGAGAAAAATATATTTCTGCAATCTGGTTTTCCACTACACCATTTATTTTTTTGGGTACCAGGAATTGAACTAACAACCTCACTTGCTAGGCAGGTGCTGTGCCACTAAGCTATATCCTTGGCCTCTGTCACTTTTTTTTTTTTTTGTCTTTTTGAGACAGGGTCTTACTATGCAATTCAGGCTTGTCTTGAGCTCACTTTGTAGCCCAGGCTGGCCTTGAACTCCCAATGATCCTCCTGTCTCAACCTCCTGAGTGATGGGATTACAGGTGTGCGCCACCACACCCAGCTTTTTACATTAGTTTTTTAATGCTGTGCCTGCATTCACATTTATCAGGTTGCTAAACTTGTCAGAGGGAAATTAATATGCTTGGCTCAGCCACTTCCTATGTCAATAACTGATGATGTGTGTTTTTCATCCTTTCAAACAATGTATACTTCTAATGCCCCTAGACATTGTTTATAAATATTGATGCTTTCTCATTTTAATTTTTATTAAAATATATGTCCCAGGTTTTAAAAAATACTATGAGTTTGCCATGAAAAGCAGCAGTTCCCTTCCCCATCACTCTCAATGCCTATTCACCAAAGGAAACACATCCTTAATAATTTCAATGTTTTTTCTATTTACCTATGTTTCTTAATCAACTTTCCTCCATTTGGATTTTTTCAGGTTCAAATATTATTAATCCATTATATACTGTGAAAAATGAGACTTTCCAACCCTTATATAGTAAAGAAAGTGGAAACCCACCCTCCAAATACTGGTGCACCCCAGTTCAGCATTGAGGGTCTGCACCTTCATGACCGCAGCGGGGTTGCAACATGTACTGTGCGTACCTAGAAAGTTCCTCTCTGTTCTGCCATGTCAGGTGTGGCTGATAGTTCCAGCTTGTCTTTGTTGTTGTTTTAGTTACTTTCCCCAGTCATCCAAGTTCTCCCTTCCTCTTCCAGTGTGTTTTCTCTCTCCTGATGTCTTTCTCTTTTTCTGCTCACTCCTTCATTTTAGTGGGATCCTAACCCTCATCCTTTAGTTGCTTTGTAAAAATAATGGTATCTGGGAAATAAAACTGGGAGATTTTACATGCCTTAAAATGCTGTACGATGTTCCAGCTCCATTGATTTGTTATAGATATATTGCTAGGTTACAAATAATTTTCCTTCAGAGCTTTTAATCATTACCTCTTGCCTTCTCACTTCCTCTGGTACTGTTAGGAGCTATAGCGCCGTTCCTCTTCCTTTCTCAAAACTAAGAATGAGAGAGCTTCCATTTTATATCTATATCTCAGCTCTGGAAGTCTTTGTGATCTTCTAATCTCAATTAGTCTGAAATTTATAAATAATACAACTAGATGTAAGTTTCTTTCCTTTGAATTTGTTGGCTGTCTGGTCACATGTCCTTTAGGTATTTAAAAAAAAATTTTTTTTGAGACAGGGTCTCACTATGCAGTTCAGATTGTCTTGAACTCACTATGTAGCCTCAGACTTTTGGTGCTTCTCCTGCCTGAGCCTCCCAAGCACTGGAATTACAGATGTGCACCACCACACCCAGCAAATTCTTTTTCTAAGCATTCACTTAATATTAGAATTGGACTCTGCAGTGTACGCTCTTTCTTGTTAGGAGACTACTGTTTAGATTTGAGCCTTTTAAAAGTTTATGTTAGCAATACAGAATGGTGAGGTTCATTTCAGGAGTTTGGTATATGCATTTAACATATCTTGATCATTTTCAGATTTGGACTTCGGTGAGGGAAGAGGAGACACTTATTCTTTAACATCCATTTTTCATAGAGCAAATAAATTTCATTAGATTCACCTAGACAGGAAATGTGTAGGAGGAAAATCTCTAGTTTATTTTAGCTCTATCATTCATAGTTTTGAGAAAGAAGAAGAATTTGTCACATTGGTAGCTGTCACACTTTGGGTCTCCGATGTCCCCTAAAGGCATCATAGTACAGTATTCTCTCCAGGCTGGCTCTGTGAGGAGAGAGAGAACCTATCGGCGGTGGTGCCTGGCAGAGGTCTCTGTGTCACTGGGGACATGTTCTCCAAGGGGATGGCGGACGCCGGCCCCTCCCCATTGTTTCCTGGCTGTGAGGTGAGCAGCTTTGCTGTGATGTGCTTCCACCATGGCGTGCTTCCTCACCCCAAACCCAAATCAAGGGGCTAAGAGACCATGGGTTGGAACCCCCAAATTATGGGCCCAAATACTCCATTTCTGTGTACAAGTTGGTCATGTTGGGTATTTTGTTATAGTAACAGGAATCTGATTAACACTGAGCACTGGGGTGCCCTATAAACTTGACAGATGGGGTGATCATGCTCAGCTCAGCTACTTCCCTGTGTTGACTTTGGTCTGTCACCAGGATTCATTCTGCTCCACCCTGCCAAACCCTGAAGTACAGGCACATACTCCTCCTCGCCCCTGTGTGTATGTGTGCGTGCAGTGGGGGCTGCCCAAGTGTGCCAACGACTGCTACCTACGCCCCGCCAAAGATGGCAGAAAGCAAGATGATTCGATTGAGTGGCTAAAATTACAACCTCCAAAGAGCACTAGTAACAGTAATAATGTAAACATCTGATTTTTGTCTCCATCTCTACTGTCTGTATGTACTGGAGTTTGTTTTTCCTCTTACCTGCTGAAGGACATCTCAGTTGCTTTCATATTTTGGCATCTAAGAATAAAGCAGCTATAAACATGTTTGCAAGTGTGGACCTAACTTTTCAGCTCTTTTGGGTAATGCAAGAGGTGCAATTTCTGGTAAAACTACAGAGACCAAATGTACCTTTGGTTACACACTTTTGTAAGTTTTATAAGAAATCACCGAGCTGTCTTAGGTTCCTGTGCGATTGTGTGTTCTGGCCAGTCAGGGAGAGAGCTCCTGCTCCTCCATGTCTGCACCGATGGGGGCGCCATGCCACCTCACTGTTGCTTTACCGTGCATTTTCCCAGCGACATGTGCAGCACATTTCCTTTTCTATTTTAATGTGATATCAGTAGATATTATTAAAGAAAATATAATGAAGTGTCCTTCTATGAAAAAATAAAGCAAAGTTTCATAACAAAATAGAGACTAACAATCCTTAATACACTGTATCATAATATTCAGAAATGGCTAAGATGTTACTCAGAGTACAAGCCACGCGCAAAAACGATCCTCTCTTACAATGAAAAAACAGATGAAAGCACTGAACTTTTCCTTCGGTGATGTGGCATCCTTTCATGTGCTTATTTTCCAACTGTATGTCTTCTCCAGTGAAGTTTCTGTAAAGGTCTTTGGCATAGTTTTTAGTTAGGTTGTCTATTTTTATAGTTGAGGTGTAGTAGTTCTTTAAATATTTGTAACAGTCTTTTATCTGAGATGTCTCCTGAAAATATCTTCCTCCCACTCTGAAGCTGTTGCTTTCATTCTCTTAAGAGGGGTACCATTTCAAGCAAGACTGCTTTATCGGACAGAAGAGGAAGACTGTCTAACTACGATGGGAAGTGGGCCGCAGGGTGCCAGGAGCACTGGGGTGCCCTATCTGCCCCCCTCCCAGCCCCTCGAGTCTCAGTCTCCCTTCATCAGTGCCCTGACTTAAAGAGACCTAAGGAGTATTTCAACCTCCTTCTGGTAACATTTTCCATGTCGGCGTTCTTGGGTAGTTAGTGAGTTAGGGTTTTGGTTGCTGACTTGAGCAGAAGGAAAATATTAGAAAGACATAGGCTACATAGTGAGTTCAAGACCACCTTGTACTACAAGGCAAGACCCTGGCTCAAAAAGAAATTAGAGAAAGTCGTTCACAAAATCAATGGGAAGAGTGGATAACATAACTTGGAAAAAAACAATGAAGGGAAGCAAGACACAGCTTAGACCTGAGCGCAGGGCGGTGCTGCGTCCTTTGCTGTCAGCACGGGACGCTGAGCAGGTGGGCTGCTCTGAGTCTGGGACAGTGCCTTTGCCCTCGTTATCTGCATCATTTCACTAGCTTCAAATCCCAGTTAGGAGTAACAAGAGTTACTTCATGTTGGTTATAGTAAGTATTCTATTTCATGTCATCATGATTTGTATTGAGGGGTTCTCCATGTCTTCCTCATTAAATTAAAAAAAATATATATATATAGTCTTTTTGAAACAGGGTTTCACTGTGCAGTTCAGGCTGGCCTTAAACTCACAGTGATCCTCCTGCCTCAGCCTCCCAAGTGCTGGAACAACAGGTAGGCACCACAATGCTTGGCCTTTTTTTAAAGTATATTTTTTCTTCATGTTTTCAGAACTTCTGCAAACTCAAGATTTTTTAAAAATCACCTTTTTCTTCCTTGATTTTAGCAGGTCCATCATTTCACAATTCCATGAAGTACACAAATGAAAGTTTTCCAGAGTATTTCATTCTCATGGGCTTAACCAAATACCCATGGCTGGATCTTCCTCTCTTCTTCGTCCTCCTGACCTCCTACCTGTTCACATTGTCAGGAAACACTGCTATCATTCTGGTCTCTCAACGGGATTCCCAGCTCCAGAGTCCCATGTATTTCTTCCTCGCCAGCCTTTCCTTTCTGGATCTCTGCTTCACCACCACAACTGTACCTCAAATGCTGTTCAACTTAGGAGGGCCCAACAAGAGCATCACATACACAGGCTGCGTGGTGCAGGCCTACGTGTTCCACTGGCTGGGCTGCTCTGAGTGTGTCCTGCTGGGTGTCATGGCCTTGGACCGCTATGTGGCTCTGTGCCGGCCCTTGCGGTACTCTGTAATCATGGACCACAAGCTGTGCAGGCAACTGTCTGGCACTGCCTGGATGCTTGGCCTGGCCAACTCACTGCTGCAGTCCACACTCACTTTCCAGCTGCCACTGTGTGGGAACCAGGTCCTGGACCATTTCTTCTGCGAGCTTCCTGGACTTATTAGGATGGCTTGTGGAGACACCAGAGTCAACGTGGTTACCTTAGCAGTGGTGGCCACCTTCGTGATAACGGGTCCCCTGTCCATGATTCTTGTCTCTTATGCTTACATCGCCAGAGCTGTATTTCGAATCCCTTCTGCTGCTGGGAGACTCAAGGCCTTCAACACTTGCTCCTCACACTTACTGGTGGTGTCCTTATTTTATGGGCCTGGCATCTACATCTACATGCAGCCCCCAGGAGATGAACCTCAAGACCTTACCAAAGTTCTGACACTGTTTTACTGTGTAATTACTCCTATGGCCAACCCATTCATCTACACACTGAGGAACAAGGAGGTTACAGGAGCTTTGAGGAGGCTTCTGAGGAAGACCATTTCATCTAAGAGAATATGAGAAGTTCATGCCCAATAATAACCTTAAACGTCTTCTTTTAAATATATGTCCTATCAAAGCAATGCTGAAAAGTAAATTCAAGAAAACTTATATATATTTTTTCTCATATGGGGAATTGAACTCAGGACCCTGCAATTGCTAGGCAGGTGCTGTGCTGCTGAGCTATATCCCTGGCCCCAAAAACCTTTACTTATGTAAATAAACAGCTACATAAGAAAATACTTGAAAGTTAGTTTCTAAATGTTTTTGAACATTCAGTATGCTATCATTGAAAAATGTTGATGAGAGCTGATGTTCCAGAACAAACATCTGAAAGGAACGGTCTTGAAAAATATTTCAATGTGTTAGAATTTAGAAAACCTAAAGAAAGAACGATAAAAACTGTTACGACATTTTCTTTAAAATATAAAACTATTTTTACAAGTTCTTACATTCAATTATTTTAAGAACTTATCAAATAAGTAAAATGAAAACTCAATAGGCAAACTAAACATTAATGTTTGGATATTGGTATGGTGAATAATTCAGGTTTATACTTCATGTCACAAATTATAATAAATTAAATTTGAATCAAAATATTAATTTTTTGTGGTCCTGCACCTCACACATACACTCCCAACCCAAAATGCTAAACATTTCAAATGCTCTTCGTACAAAATATATCATTTTTATCACAGTTGTAGATAAAAACACAAGAGGCAAACACAAGGGGTAATATAGACAAAGTTTAAATTTAAAAGATGTACTACAATGAAAGACACATTGCCATTAATCTCCTCCACTTGATTAAATGGACACACATCTGTGATAAGTAAACACAGCTTCCATGTTCATAGAAAACTTCTCCAGTGTGTCACTGGCAGTTGGTCAGGCTAACTGGCTCCCATGTATGTATGAAGTAACAAAGGTTCTACCCAGAGTCAACACTTTTGAGGGAGATTGGCTCTCCCCTCTCTGTTTGGGCTAAGATTCCTGCACAGCTGTACTTTCATGAGTAGCCCAGGACAGAAAGGGACAAATTTTCAACTTTGATTTGGAAATCCCTACTGCAGATACTGAAAGTCTCACACAATTAAGAGACAAGAGATGCAGTCTGGCAGTGAATTGGTATGGTTTACCGAAAGCATAGCTGAAGCTCCATCTCCAAGGAAGTACAGTATTCTCCAGGATGTAATTTATGTACAGACCTACCAGCGTACTGTGTCTCCAGTAAGAACAACACACGGTTGGAAGCAGGAGGTGGAAGCAGCACTCCCCCATCTTACTCTCAATGAACCGCTCAGGGATTTCTTCTCTCCATTCTCACGGCTCTCAGCTTGGCAAAGGGGATATAGTAAAAGGTCAGACTATTACTACCATATAGGCATTTTGGAATTCTTGCACCAGGGATCAGGAGAAGAGGAGCCACTGTCAAGGGAGGGCTATTTCATTCTGATTAGTAGGAGGAGATACAGCTATTGCTGCACACTGAGGCCAGAAAGAAATATGAGTGAAACTCACTTAGACCTATGATTGTGAAGGCAGGAAGAAATGCCCAAATCTTACTCCCAGACTGCTCATATAAGCAATCTCACAACAATGGAAAATCACACTTCTCAATACAGACACTGAACACATAATACTATGTTGGTTTGGGGGATATTTTGTGCAAGGAGAACAATATAATACGGGACACATATCTTTAAGATTATTTACAATAGTCATCCAAAGAATGATATACAAAAACGTGCAGGAAATCTGTCCACACACTAAGACCAAGCAATCCAGCTGAGGGCCTGGATCCCACAACAATGTCCTGCATGAATCCAGCTGAATACCCAGAGCTCATAACAATGCCTCCCACGAGTCCAACCGGAGGCCCTGAGCCCATGACAACATCTCATGCAGGCCTGTTTCACGGATCTGTGCTGTGAAGGCCCAAAGGTCGGTGGTGGAATCTAGAAGTCTGTGCCAGCAGGATGAAGGATCTGTGCCAGCAGGCTGAAGGAGCCAGGAAGCAATGTGCAAAGTAACAACCAGAGCTCCCCTGAAAAGTACCATAGTCATCCTCAGCAACAGTGAGGCCCCGAGCTCCTCCAATGGTGAAGACAGCTGAGTTCCCATCAGGAAATCCAAGGCAGCAAGCTTCTTCAGGAGACTGAGCTGTGCACCTTCTTCCCCTCTGGAGCCAGGAAGCGATGCTCAGAGTGAGGACCAGAGCTCCCCCAAAGTGAACCAAAGCTATTCTCAGTGCCAACAAGGTCCCGAGCTCCTCGGAGGTTGAAAACAGCCAAGTTCATCAGAAAAGCCAGCACGACAAGCTCCTCCAACAGAACCAACAGCTCCTTACAGCTTCCACCAGCTCCCGACAGCCTTTCTCCACTCCCAACAGCCTCACTTCTCCTTCTCCAGTTCTGCCTCTTATGCTGCTGGCAACAATCCCCAGGGGGGCCTCCCACCCCCAGCACCATGCTTACTCAGTTCAGCTGGGGGTTATAAGCTGACCACCAGTTGTCAATCCACTACAACTACACCATGAGCCTTGGGCACTTTTGCCTCTGAAAGTCCTTAATTTGACTGTATTGTACTACCCTTGCCTACACAATTCACAATATCCCCTTCCTCACAGTACTCTTTTCTACATTAAAGTCTTTTATGAATGTAGGTAAACCCTGTATCATGCCTGCACCTACCGATGAGTAGTTCTAGCACCCAACCAGAAAAGGTAGGAGTTAAAATGGGAAAAAGCATCTGCTACATCCTAGATATGTGTGCTAGTATCATTCTAATTCTATAGTATGGAAAATGAGACACATAGAGATTAAATAGTGTGATCATTAATACACAGTTATGAAGGTTTCTGCACTAACCTGTCTTCCTGTATTTACATACAAGCCTTTATGTTTATGATTGTGCAAATACAGAGGAAGCTGTGGGAGAATGTCCGCTGGGAGACCGACGCAGGTTGAGGCAATGAAGGTGATGGTATGGATGCTATGAGGCGTGTGTGGGGTAAACAAGGTCGGCAGAAAAAAGGGTGGGGCAGAGATCAGGATCCTGAGATGGAGAGGCAACTCCTGGACGAAGCAGGACTGGTGCTGGACAGGAGGAGGTTTGCAGTAGGAAGTGCAGGATGACCCGGTGCAGGGGAGACATCACAGAGATGAAGCTTCCTAGAAGAATGTGGCAGCACTTCCGGGATATCCCGGACTTCTGGGCCAGTGGGCGTCGGCTTCCACACTGTGGGGAAGAACCATTTGAATGTAACAAATGTGTTAAAATCTCAGAAATGTAACAGGGCTTACCCAGCATCATAGAGATCATACCTTAATGAACTATTACCAGTGCAATGAATGTACAAAGACTTTCAGGGAAAGTTCAAACCTTACTCAACATCAGTGAATTCGTAGAGGAGAAAAACCTTACGAATATGATGAATGTGGAAAAGCCTTCCGTGGAAGTTTTGATCATACTAGACATCAAAGAATTCACAACAGAGAAACTCAATGAATGTGATTAATGGAAAGGCCTTTCTCTGAGCTCACATCTCACTGAACACTAGAGAACCACAAAAAGACCAATTTGATATGTATAATTAATGTGGGAAGGCCTTTAGGCTGTCTTTCAACATTAAAAAAAAAAAACCACAATGACTGAAAACTACATAAGTACTGTAAAAATGTTCAGCAGTATTTGTTCTCTGCAGAGCTCAGAGAAGCTCCATGAGCCCTGTCAGTGTCTATCAGCATCTCGGATCTCTGCTAGCAGAGTCTCCACAAATCGGACTGTCTCCATCTCAGGGTGAACTAGGCCGGATTTTCTATTTCCCGGCTTCAGGGACAACGAGTTAAACATGTAAAACCTCAGAATAGCCAAGTTCATCCTGGTTGCAATCAAATGTAGAGAAAATTGTAATCCCAGCACTTGGGAGGGTAAGACAGGAGGAGTGCTGTGATTTTGAGGCCAGCCTGGGCTACAAAGTGAGTTCAAGCCAGCCTAAATTGCATAACAAGACCCTGTCTCAAAAAGACAAAAAAAATGAGAGAAAATTGCAAATCCATAATTCACAGTTGAAAGTACCATAACATTTCCCAAGTAAGTAAAAGTTTAAGCATTGTTTTTCTTGCTTAAGAAATGTGTGGTGATTAACACCTTAGTAACTTGTCTGAGATTTTTTTAAACAGGAGATAGTGGATGTGAGGGAGAGTATTAGATTCTAATATCCACTAAGTTAATGTGTGAATTATTTATTTATTTTTTTGTTTGTTTTTTGAGACAGGGTCTCTCTGGGTAGTTCAGACTGGCCTTGAACTCACTATGTAACCTAGGCTGGCCCTGAACTTGCCTGGATCCTCCTGCCTCAGCCCCCCAAGTGCTAGGTACTGTGTGAATTTTAAAAAGTCACACACACTTTCTTGGCCTTGGCTTTCTCATCTGTGAATTATAGAACTTGGAGACCTTTCTACTTCTACAGTTAAATACTTTTATAAATGCTATCATGGCTTTGTATTTAAATTCTCAGCCTAACATTCAGAGCCTCTTACACACATTAGTCACAGTACTTCTGACATTGTTTCCTTTATTGTCTACAGGAGCTTCCTGCTCCTGTCATGCTGGTCTCACTTTCCCTCGCTGCCCCACATATACTCAGGCTTCCACTTCTTTGTCCTCTGTTCTTCCCCGCGCATATCCTGAATGCCCTCTTTCCTGTTTTCCCAGCTGGGTTTTATGCATGTCCTGCTGTAAACTCATTTAGATTAAACAAACCTTCTGAACGGTGAACCTCTTAGAGGCAGTATAGCAGTAACCCCAGTGGGTCACTCAGGATAGCCTGGCGTAAAGATTACTATTCTGTACTGGCCTATGAGAGCCCAAGAAGGCTTGCCTCTGCTTTTATTTAACCAGTGACAACTCGGTATGCCTTCTAGAACTGGACACTCTTCCTTGAGGAAGAGAAGGACAGACCCTTCTGGAGCTACTGGAGAGAAGCCAGTGCTCACGGAGGCCTTGGTTACCCTGCCTGAGGAGGAGGTGTGGATTGCTGACCCGACACCACCCTTGCAGGCTAGTCCGTGGAAACTGTGACTGTCACTGTGTACTGGTGTCTATGTGAGGTGGTCCCAAGAAGAAAGGCTCCTTGTGCAGCTACCTTTTATTTCATGATAGTGGAAAAACTATGTTAAATGGGCCGGAGCCAGAGAGGAATTCTGAGATCTTCTAAAAGAAAGGATTGAGTGTGATGAAATTGGAAAATAACTTGGAAACCCCACGGGAGTAGGAGACAGCAGGGCTCAAAGTGGGGAAAGCCACAAGTGGATGAGCGCTTAGGTCATGTAAACTAGAGATTCTCCTCTGGTGTGGTTTCCAGAGGAGGCGGACTTGTTTCAGAGACTGAATCAG